ACCTGGGATACAGTTCAGCACATCAATATGGCTAGTGTCTGACTAATCAGTCAAAAGTAGCATAGCTTTGATGGCATTTTAAAGTACGACTGAAGTTCATCATCAGTTGACTTTAAGTGAAGGTTATCTTCTAAAATCTAAATGGAACTTATTTGATTGCTTAATTGTATTTAAAAGCAGAGCTGGGTTTCCCTAAGAATATTTTTTTTCTGCCTAAGACAGAACCTTTAGCTCCTCCCAGAAAGGCAGAGCTTTAGATCTTGAGCTGTCTAGCCAGTACCCCCAGTTACACGCACTAATCTATGAAAACAAAAAACACATATAACCTCTTCAAAACAAACATAGCTAAAAAACAAACAAAAAAATCCAAACCAAAAACATATCCTTTTGGGCAGTAAGCCTAGCCTTTACTGGCTGAACCATCTCTCCAGCCCTCTCCAACACATCCTTAACATCTATTTCCTTCTGTTTCAGTTTCTGTAGCTGAATTCTGATGGACGGAAGATAGTTTCATTTTATATTTTCCCTTTATATTGGAAGAGAACAAGGAGAGAGCAAAAAAGCATGTGCCACATTGTCAAACTGCTAACTTTACATTTTCTCTCTAAAATTATGGAGCTGAACAGATGACAGGAATCTCATAACCAGCTAAATATGGAACACGATATGATGCTAAATTGAGTTCAAGCCTACAACTGCTTTAAGGACAAATATATACAGTAATGTTGAAAAAGTCTGGATTGATAAATGTGCTTGTTCTCATCTACTAAAGTGAAAAGCAGACTTCCATATGCTCTGAAATATATTTTAGAATATTAAAGTTCAGAAAATGATAATGGGTTTTAGTTAGATATAGACAGAAGTCTCTAGGAGAAGGTAATTTACTTTTCAGTCATTCTGTAGATAAATGTACAAAGTCACATAAATTTCTTCAGTTAATTGTCAGGATTTGGGTCCCACTATCCACCAAAAGCTAGAAGCTACTTTGAGGATAACATATTTACATGTTATACAGTGTAGAAGGAGTAACACAAAACTAAAAATCTCCAGAGATCGGATCCCTTGCCAACTTGTGATTTAGACCTGTGGCTCTCTGTGGGGAACAGCATCTCTACTGCTCTTAAACTTATGGGAATCTTAATGAAGAATTCAGTATATGTACATGTGGCTCAACAGACCTGCTTAGGAAAGATGATGGTGAAGAAAATCAGTTTACTCACAGAGGGAATGGCTATGCCTCTGGGGAGGTGGGAGTAGTTCCCAGTGAAAAGTAAGAGTCAAACAAAGAGTTTGCTATGACCTCATGTTATTGTTCTATTGAATAACATCAAAGTTGTTCTTAACGTGAGGGTAAAAGACATATCATATCTATATGAGAAGTAGACACGAAAAGCTAGCCACAAAATGATAGTTGTAGTTATTTTAACACAATTTTGATAGTATCAATAATATTCTATCATTTTACATCTTGGTACTTGTCTAGGTTGGGCTTTCCAGAAAGCAGATGCTGACAGAAAATTAAGGTTCACTGGGGAGTAACAAGTCTGAAAGGAAAAGGGGTTAGGCAGGGAGAGCAGCCATAAGATGATGCAGATTTGACCAAGTACCTGCTCAGCAGTTTGGTGAGTTTGGCTTAAAGAGGTCTGGTGTTACAAAAAAACAGCTTAGGCATTGTCCAACTGCCTCATCAGTGAGTGGCTGGAAGCTGTCCAGAAAAGAGCATCACTTCAGGATTAAAGCTTCAAAGCCAATAACCGGAAGATGCTGGTGGCCCACATTCCTTACAGCTGAGCAGACCGAACTTTCCTGAAAGAGAATCTGGGGCAGATATTCTACCCAGGATAGCATGCAGCACTTGTAAACATTTGGGTGGTTGTATTTGGAGATGCAATTTGATTTGGTTCGCAAGAAGTGTTAGTCAACTACAGTAAAATTCTACAGTTCCACTTGAGGTGGCTTCGGGTAATAATCACCATCAGTTTTTTTTAGGTAAGTGGAGTCATTGTTAAAAGATCAAGTGTTAAAAATATTACCAGATATTAAGATCTCTAGAGAATATTGTCGTTTCTTGTTTCAGATCTCTTAAGAGGATTTCTACTTCATCCCCAAGGAGTGGCTCCCAGGGGAGATGTGAGCATCTTGTTTTGCTGTGGTCGTAGGTTAGTTGACATGGGAAAAAGTGATCAGAAAGCCTCTTATGCAGATGACAAGAAAGCATCATGATTTCCTTCGGATGAAAAAGGTAGGACTGAAGGAATTCAGATCGGCTATTTATGATGTATCATGATTTTCTCTCTTCTGTGTGAGTGCCACGGGAGAGATGGAGACAAGGACTTGTTCTTTTTTCTAGGGTGCAATATTTAGCACAGTGCCTAACACTGTAGAGGTTCTGGTGCCTATCACCACTTACTGGTGACATCAGCCCTGGTAAAGTGGCTCACTCTCTTTGTGCCTTAGTTTCTCTTTCTGTTAAGTGGTGACTACAGTGATGTCTGCCTACACCAAAGAGCTGTGTGGAGGCTAAAATGACACACGCAGGGACGAGATTCAGGAGATGCCAGTGCCGTGTGCTGGTGCTTTGTTCCACTGTTCTCTTTTACTTCCTCACCGAGAATGTGTTGTGTCATTGAATTGTGTCATCTGCTCTGTGAGAGGAGAAACATATTCAGAGAACCTGGGCGGGGGCAAAATGCAACAACTGATATATAAACAGGATTCAGGGTGTCTACTTTGAGTCAGGTCTCTGATTTTCAATGACTCCTTTTTCTTAGAAGCAATGAAATTTAAAAACAAATGCATTTAAGCGGCTAATGAAAATAAAAGGACATAAAAATTCAATTCTAAATCATCTTTATAGATAAGAAGTTATATAGGAATCTAATTTTTCTTTGCTAACATTAGGTGTCATGAGAGATAATACTATTTAGGGTAATAACTGTAAGGGGGAGCTAGCATTTATACTAATAATATCAATGAAATGACATGCTTATTACTTTAGAATTTAAAATACATTACATTGGAGCACATGAAAGCAAATTTAAAGAAAATTAGGTATGGCAATATCATTGCTTTTTTATTATTGTTAGACTGGTAATGCTGATATTAGATATTTCAAGATGGCCCAAATAGAGATCTGATGAATGGTTTGAAAAAACAAACAAACAAACAAACAAACAAAACAAAACATCAGGAAGACTTAACTTTTTTAGTTAACGGTTTTCCAAAGATTATTGAACTTTGTTGTATCTTGCTAGTTGAACCTGTTGTCGAGGCTCCTCTACTGGCTTCCTTTATTTTAGAATTCTCCTCTGTACATATATGAAAGTAAAGTGAGAGGTTTTCAGATCCCCCCAGTTCCCCTCAGGGGATCTCCAGAGTAAGATAATTTATGGAGAAAGGGCTCGGTTATCTTAAAAAAGATGGTTGGGCCAGATCAGGTGGGGTCATAGTTCTTAGGGTATAATAAGTAGATGTTTTGATTAAAAGGTACCTTTTGCTGGTCCACCATGCTCTTCTTCTTGGCAGAGAAACAAGCTCTGTTGTGGAATACAACTAGGCAAAGATGTGTTACATTTGTTTATGCTGTGGAATATTATTTCAGCTATGTGAAGGTGTGCTACATCCGCTTATGCTGCATTTGTTTAATGATGTAAGGATGTGTGTTTAATTATGTAAGGATGTGTTGAATTTGTTTCACCTTGCCTGCTTAAGGCATCTGATTGGTCTAATAAAGAGCTGAATGTCCAATAGCTAGGCAGAGAAAGGACAGCTGGGGCTGGCAGACAGAGAGGATGAACAGGAGGAGAAATCTAGCCTCAAGAAAGAAGAACGAGAGACAAGAATGAGGGAGAAAGAGGGGCCAGAACCCAGGCAGTCAGCAGCCAGACACTGGAGGAAGCAGTGAGAGTAAGATACACAGAAGAAAAGAAAAGTAAAAAGCTATGACGCAAAGGTAGATGAAAAGAAATGGGTTAATTCAAGTTAAAAGAGCTAGCCAGAAACAAGCCTAAGCTAGGCTGACCATTCATAACTAGTAAGTCTCCATCCATGTCATGATTTGGGAGCTGGTTGGTAGCCTAAAAGAAAAAAGCCTGGTACACTCTGTGCCTTGTGAGAGAGAAACAGGTGCACATACACAGTAACTGGTCATGTGTTGCTAGCCACCAGGTATTGTGATATTCCACAAAAAGTTATTCTTTAGTATTGTCAAATCTTAGTATTACCCGAGTATTACCACAAAAATCCTACCTCATTTCATTATTTTCTTCTGTCCTTCTCATTTCCTATTTCTGAAGGCCTCTTTGTAAGACATAGGGATATGTCTGAAGAGTCAGCTGGATTCTTAAATCTTTTACTACCAAGAAGGGGGCAAAAGAAATTTGCAGGAAAAGTCCTGCTCAGGATTTTCAGGGCAGTGAAACCATTCGGTATGAACTATAATGTGCATCGTTATGGCATTATTTGTCAGAACCCATAGACTGTACAACACTCAAAACGAACCCCAAGGCAATCTATAGACTCTAGGTGACAATGGTATGTTATTGTGGGTTCGACAGCTGTTACAAATGCCCTCCCTGTTCTACTGAGGAAGGCTATGCATAAGCAGAAGCAAGAATATGTGTCTTTTTCCTTCCTCGAATTTTTTTCTGTGACTCTAAAGCCGAATATCTATATCTATATAATGTACATTTATTTGGTAACTCATTACCTCATTAGTGATTTGAACGACTGCCCTGAAGATGGGTCTAGGCTTGGGACTATCAAAAGGGCGATTTGCTCTCACGTGCTCTAGGAATGCACCTCCTCTCCCCTGAACGTTCGCCTTCGCAGTGACGGTGCATTCGCTCGCCCCACAGTGAAACCTGCCCTCGCGGAAAAGTCCAATCAAGCGGGGCGATTGTTTTTTTTTTGTTTGTTTTTTTTTTTTTCCCTTTCCGCTTCTTTTGCCACCGCCCACTCCCGACAGGCTGACACCCTCGAGATCTCCCCGGGACTTGCCTGACTTTTCCATCTCCTCCCACCTAGGGACACCTTCGCAGCCGGGACACGGATGGGACGCCGGCGGAGTCAGCGAGCATGCGCGTCCGCCCCGAGCATGCTCAGTAGCTCGCGCGGCTCCCCGGAGCTGCGGCGCGGATCGGCGAGCGACGCGGAGGTCTCCGCCGGCGCCGAGGGAGCGACAGGAAGTGAAGCGGCCCCGCCGGGCGAGCGCGGCGGCAGAACCCGAGGCGGCGGAAGGGGCTCTGCGGCGGCGGCGGCGGCGGCGACGTCGTCCACCGGGGAGGCCGAAGGAACTGAGCCCCGAGGGGACACGCCCGCTCGGAAGCCAGACCCCGAGGCGGGCAGGATGGATCACCACCAGCCGGGGACTGGCCGCTACCAGGTGGTGAGTGCGCGGGCCCCGGGGGGGAGGGACCCCACGGCCGCCGCCACCGGGCCACCCCGGAGAGGACCGGCTGCCTCCCCGTCCCCGCGAGACCCTTCCAGCCCCCCGGCCGCAGCCGACGGCCTGCTCCGCACCAAACCCCGCTTCCTTCCCCGACCTCCCCGACTCGCTCCGGCTTCGTGTCCCCTCCTGTCATTTCCTTCTTCCCCGACTCAGACCCGCGCGTGAGACCTTGTCGTGGGGTTTCCTCCGGCGGCGGCGGCGGCGGCGGCGGCGGGGCTGCGTGCACGGACCTGTCAGGGAGGCGATCGGCGTCACAGATGGAGTGGGGTGGGTGGGGGTGAACACTGTAGAACGGGGTGCAGCTGGGCTGAACACCCGCTTTAGGGGCTGCGTGGACGGACCTGTGTAGAGAGCAGCGGTGGTGGGGGACGAACGTGCCTCTCTCTTCTACTTAACCTTGTCACTCTGCCCTTTTCCATTCTGTTAGTATTAAAGGGATCGTTTGTTGGGGGAAAAAAATGTCTGTCCCCACTGTGTCTGTGTGTGTGTGTCTGTGTGGGTTTCGGTGGGCGTGGAGCGTTTTATTAGAAATAAATTTCAGATCTTGTTTGAAAAAAAGAGTAGTTTTCATTTAATACAGAGTTTTACCTCTCAAGTGTATTTAAGTGAGTGAAACGTGCCCTGTATTTTCTTTGTCAGAATTTCTGTATTTTTTTCCCCTTGGTGTGTTCTAATGGTGTCATTGGGAATAACTCTTGTAAGTATCATGGCCAGCAGTATTTGCTGTGTTGCATTTTCGTTTATAAACTTTCAGGTAGTTTAGTGAAACCTATTGACCGAGGGAGAGGAGAAAAGCACTTGTGCATATTGTTGATGGTGCGTGTGGTAGTTTATAAAATTGTACAGTGGGTCCCATATGTCACCTTTCCTGTCTGTTAGCTTGTGTGTTGTCACTCAGGCCAGACAAATGCCAAGGATTGTGTAAGACAGGATCGTACCATAACTAATTTTTCCTTTTTTCTTTGGTAAGACTTCCGCATCATTTGAGTTTATTTGCTGTAACACGGCCAGGTGATTCAGATTATGAATTTTCTGAAAATTTTCAGAACAGCTTAGGAAAAAAAATTGCCATTTTATGGAAGGTGCTTTTCAAGTTGTCAGTTTTGGGTGGCATTATACTTTTAAAGACACTTTTCTAACTGTTTGTAAGAAAGAAATGCCACTGATAAACATCTTGGATAATTTTAACATTGATACTTCTTTTTCAAATCTTTCCCATTTCTATTTGTGTCTTGTAGTGATATAAATTGATTTGAATTCTGTCTTTGGTCTGATTTTCCTTATTGTGCTCAACCATGGTCGCTACTTAGAATAGTTTTCTTGGTAAACAATTTATTATGTTGTCTCTTTTGCTTTCAATAGATGTAACTAGTTGGAACTATTTTTCCCCCCTCAAAATCTCTCCAGATAAAACATTGGCGTTTACTTTTACTGTTAATTTACTTCCTTTTTGTCTAACTTTCAAAGTAGGTTGAAAAGACCACATTTTGCCCCCCTCCCCCCACTTCAAAACTGAAGCTAGGTCCTATATAGACTTTGAATGGGTGGAGGCACTCCATAAGGGCTGAGGGCAAAAGTCGTTCTAAATAAATTATTTATTTTAGGTAGAATATTATTTTATTTTTCTTTAGAAGCAGAAGCATTAGAGAATTTTATCCCAGTTTAAATTTGCATTTAAATTCTTTTACTTGTGCAGTTACCTAGTAAGTTTATCTCTGGGACAACTCTTGGTTTGCTGAGAATGGATGGCTTCCTATTATGTAACTGTCTGGGAACATGGCATGGGTACAACTGAATTTCATGTTTTGAGTAGACTTCATAGCTAGTTTTCAGTCTGGAAACCCAGTTTATATGATGGATACGACTATTCTATGGTTGCCTTTAGCTCAGGTCTTATTTTGAAACTCTAGAATGATTCATAAACAACTTTGGTTGTTGTGTGTTAAGGGATGATTAGGTCAGGAGATAGGGAACTGTATGCAGGGCTGAGAAATGCTGTGCTGTGGTGCTTTACTCTTATTTAAAGAGCTAAAACTCACCTCTACAGACAGAATGACCTACTGTGTTTTAATGCATGTATATATACACTTTATCTGGACCATTTAAAGTGTATTATTGTTGCTTCGGCTAACATATTAAGTAGTGAATTTTATAAGTTCTTTTTGTACTTTCACATCCCACATATACATATGTATGTATGTATATGTTGGTATGTATAAATTTAAATCTAAATTCCCCTTATTAGAAAACATGTGTTTTTCTCTCTGAATCTGGCTTATTTCACTTAACATATTCACCTCCCAGTTCCATCTGTCTTCCTGCAGCTTCATTCTTTACCACTGAATAAAACACCCTCATGTCTAGCCTCAGCCTCGCACTACTGTAACAGGCACACACCACCATTCCTGACTATACATACTGTTTTTTTCACCCTCCTCTTTCCTATCCATTGTTAAAAAGATCCATAACAGTAGATAAAATTACAGCCTCAAAATCTTGGTACTCTTCTAATTTCTGGAAAACAAAACTGGGCATGATGTATACTTTCACTGTGTTATGGGAAATTTAGTTGTGCTTGGTAGGAAAAGAGCAATGTGCCAAATGGTTAGGTAGCTAACTTGTTTTGCAGCTGCCAAACTGCATTCTGGCTTTGATGTTCTCTATTTTGAAGGCTCATGTACCTACAACAAGCTGACGACTAAGAGTTAAAAGACTGTGCATAGTTTGAATTGGCAGTGTTAATTATAGCAGCAGTTTCTCGAACTATGTACTAGAATGCTGACAATAGTTGTTCTTGGACTGCGTCTAACATACTACCATAGTGAGAAGTTCCTTAGTAAAGACAGTAGCTTAGGTTCCTTTACCCTAGTTGTTTTTGATCTTTGACCACAAAATGCTTTGGTTTTTTACATTTTAAGATAATGTTAACATTCCTACAACGTAAGTTTTCTATGCAATATAATTTGAGGTGTTTGTACTATAGAGGTCTGAGTACTTTTGTATCTGGAGAATTAAAGTTGCTCCTGATAAATCAACTAAGGAAGGAGGTTTGAAGTGCTAAAATCAAGGTAGGGAGCTGGGATGTAGCTCAGTGGCAGAGCACTCGGCCTAGAATGTTTGCACAGAAGGCGCTGCTCCATCTCATGTACTACAAACCAACCAAAACAGGCTTTAATGTCACCTAGGCTTGTATTTAGGTTGCTCTGTTTGCAATTAAAAAAACCCTTTTTTCATATGTGTGTGTGTGTGTGTGTGTGTGTGTGTGTGCTGGTCTCCAAGGATACCAGAAAATCCCCTGGAGCTTTGGTTTGAGATGGTTGTAAATCACTTGGTGTGAGTGCTGGAAACTTAACTCTGGTCGTTGGAAGAGATCAAATACTCTTCACCACTGAGCCATCTTTTTTTTTTTTTTTTTAAAAAAACTTTTCTATTTTTATTAATAATTAATTTTTTTTTTTTGGGTTTTTCGAGGCAGGGTTTCTCTGTGTAGCTTTGCACCTTTCCTGGAACTCACTTGGTAGTCCAGGCTGGCCTCGAACTCACAGAGATCCGCCTGGCTCTGCCTCCCGAGTGCTGGGATTAAAAGCGTGCGCCACCACCGCCCGGCTAATTAATTAATTTTTTCCAGCCCAATCAACTCCCCCCTTACAACCCGTGCCCCCCCCCCCCCCCCAGTTGTCCTGTCAGAAAAGCGTAGGCTTCCCATGGACATCAGCCAGCTATGGCAGATCAAGCTGCAGGAAGACTAGGCTCCTCTTCGCCCCGAGGCCAGATGAGGCAGCCCAACTGGAGGAAAGGGTCCCAAGAGAGGCAACAGAGTCAGAGACAGTTCCTCCTCCCTCTGCCAGGAGTCCCCTAAGAAGAGCAAGCCACACAACTGTAAGGCATGTGCAGAAGGCCCAGGTCAGTCCCATGCAAGTTCTCTGGTTGGTGGTTCAGTCTCCATGAGCCCCCAAGGAGCCCGGGTTAGTTGGCTGTGTGTTTTCCTGTGCTCTCCTTGGCCCCTCTGGCTCCCATAATCTTCCTCCCCCTCTTCCACAGGATTTCCTGAGGTTTGACTAATGTTTGGCTATGGGTCTCTGCATTTGTTTCTATCCCACTGAGCCTCCTGTTTGCAGGTTTTGAAACATTGGGTTAGTTACTTCACATCTTAAAGCACCATTTCCTCATATTAGTACAACCTCATAAATATTTATTGTGAGAACTAAATACTGTAATTCATGTAAAACATACAGAGCAGTGGTGCTCAACCTGTGGGTTGCAACCTCTTGGGGGAGGTAGGGGGTGGGGAGGGGGCCTGTGTGGAATGACCCATTCACAGGGGTCCCATATGAGATACCCTGTATATCAGATATTTACATTACGATTTATAACAGTAGCAAAATTACAGTTATAAAGTAGCAATGAAATCATGTTATGGTTGGCGGTCACCACAACATGAGAAACTTTTAAAGCGTCACAACATTAGGAAGGTTGAGAACCACTGATAGAGGCTGGCACATAGAAATAACTACTGTTTTCATAAGCTAATGAATTAGTCTGCTAATGTTTCATGGTTGTTGGCAGAAAACAGAAGACTCTTAAGTCAGAACAAATGACATTACTCATAGTTGTACCAAGCAACAGGAACACAGCATATTTGAGTAGTTTTCCTTGTTCCAAAGTCCTGTGAGGCTAATGAGTATTTGGAGAGACACAGCAGTGAGTTAGCCTCCACGTCTGAGTCAACCGGAGTCTTGGGCTTAGCACTTTTTATTTATCTGTCTATTTTGTAGGAAGCAGATAACATTGTAACAAACAACAATGCTGGTTTATTTGCCGTGTAAGGAGCTTCTGTGCTGACCTTAGTTCTCCGTTGTCTGTGGAGTTAGCACAGAAGGGTTCAGTCATCAGGAAGCTGAACGCTGCGCTTAGGAAAGCACACTAAGCAAGACTGC